AGGACGCGGCCTACCCCCGCGGCCTCGCGCTACCCCCGCGTTGGTTGCGTGACGTACCCCCGCGAAGGACGCGGCCTACCCCCGCGGCCTCGCGCAACCCCCACGGGGGTTGCGCGACGTGCCCCTTCGAAGGGTGCAGCCTACCCCCACGGGGGTTGTGCGTTGTACCCCCGCAGGTTTGCGCCACCCCCGAGGGGGTTGCGTGACGCACCCGCCCCCTTGGTGATGAATCTCCCCCCCCCCGCCCCCTTTCCCGTTTTTTGTCTGACGTCACACGTTTGCGCGGGAAAGTTTTTGTTTTTGTTTCGAGCGTGTGCTGAGGAGTGGGGAGGGAAAGGGAGGTAGATGGCGGCAATTTTAAAACAAAAATTCCAAGGCATGTCCGAGTTTAATTGTCATAGCAGGTGTTAGGTAGCCTCCTGTTCCCGCCGCGCTACTCCGCGCCAGAGAGACGCTAGCGGCCGGAGCCGGCGGGAGCGGTGGAGGGGGCCGGCTGCCGGCGCCCGGCGCGCAGGCAACCTTTCGCACTGTCCGGTGTGTAAGTGGACACCCAGTACAGAGGTCTTATTGCAAAGAGTATTGCCTACTTCGTAGGCGGCTGTGTTGGGTTCGTAGGGTAGGCGACTGCCGCTGTTTCCCCTCCCCATTTTGATCGCCCCTCGATTGGCAGCTTTCCTGAATCTTTTTGCCGTAGTGCGGGTAGCTTATGCACGCGCGGCTCGGCCAACACTCCGAGTTCGTGTCCCCTAAAGTTGGTCGGTATGGGTCACTACAGGTCAGGTGCCGCACTTTTAACCCCTGCCCCTCCAATACCCGACCTACCCCCACCCAAACAAACCTCTGCCGCACTGCAACAGTGCAAATGTTTTGTTTTTACTGTAGGCGAGAGGAAATTTGAGTCCTGTTTACTTTTAGTGTGTGCCATAAATCAACTCATTTAAACCTTTTTTTTTATGTTTTTCAGAGGAAGATTTTGATATAATTTCATTGAAAGCAGTGACAGAAGACTTCCTGAAGCCACATTTGCCAAAGGTTGGCCCCAGACTTAAACTTTTGTCCTTAGTTCAATCTCTAAAAGATCAAGTAAGAAAAGCATTCCAATCTACTTCACCCTTACAATTGCTGGGCGATGGTTTTGATAGTTTGTTTTTTGTACAGGATGTTGCTGGTGGGTCAGGATCTTCAAATTTGAGCGTTCCTGATGCGTCTCCAGTTATCAATTCAGGCGAGGTTTCATCTGCAGAGAAACCTGCACTAAATCTATCTGCAAGCTTTTTAGACACTGAGGACGAAATCGAAGACGACCCAGGTCCTCCTGCAAAGAAGAAGAAGAAGAATGCCAAGGGCTCTAAAGTAACTGTACCCAGTGTACCCTACCCTCAGAAAAAAGTAGCTTTGTATACTCTAAATAAGAGTATTGAAGAGACGGTAAGTCCCTTCGTCTTCACATCTGCAAACTTCACGTTTAAACATCAGCATGTTATTGAAAATCTTATTATTTCCTCTTTTGCAGGATATTAAAGAGGTCCTTAACGGGAGTCCATTGACCAAAACTGTGCTAGAGAATTATGATGCGGAGAAAGGTCTCTCAGCCAAGGGACGATCATTAGTGGTGCAGAAAGTTGCTGACTACCTTCTCAATCTGAGTGCAGGTTAAGTAAGTGATCAGAAGTCGTCAATTTTAAAATGTTTCAACTTCAAGTGATTAACATAGATTTGTTTACAGGGTCAAAAATGCTCACTTCTTGCGGATTTCTGAAAAAATAGTGGAAGTCTTCCCTTTAGAAACAGTGGTAATACATCTGCCCTGAAAGGATGAATGTTCGATAGCTATTGTTCTTTCATTTAACGGAGTTGCTTGCTTTGTCATAGGGATCATACTACATTGCTCCAGATGACATCAGGGACAAGTCTGGGGGCAGATTAGTGAACCGCTATAGAAATCAGAAGGACAAACTGAACAGTTTAGTAGGAGGAAGCTCTGCCACACCTCAGCCTTCAACATCTGCTGCAGGAGCTGACCCATATCAGCAATTAGCCTCAGGGGCCGGCCCGCTCTTTAGTGGTGAGGAACGAGTTTGCTAGGGTGGCGTTCGATGTATGCATAGCACAGCTGACTAATTGGTGATTTATTGCAGATTTTGATGCTGATCAGTACTCGGCAGCTGAAGAGTGGCTTAAGACTCAAACTCAGCCTTGGCCCAAAGTGTTAGAGTGTTGGCGCAAAACAGCCCCAGAAAGGTTGAGAGTACACATAGCAAGATCTAAAACTGCAGGAAAGCAACGCAAGAAAAAGGCAAAGGGCAAGAAGAACATCGAGGAGGATCCAAAAGTTGTAGAAAAGTACATTGAAAATTGGCCTATTTTGAAGCACTCTTCTGGATATCAACTGGTAAGTAGGTGTAGATTAGAGCAGCAGTGGAAACAAGTCTGAATTCAATAGTTCTGAATTTGTCTTAATTATTTGTTTTTTTGTTGCAGTTGACCCAGGATTTCAACTTGCTCTTTCCTGAGAAAGAAGACGCCCTTTTTCTTGGGTGGAAGACTTTTCAAGTGAAACTGATATCACTTGCAGCGGAGCAGGTTGTAGATGATAAAGGTCTCGAGTATTTAAGTGTACTACAGAATAATCCCACTGAAGGTGTGCATTATTGAGCGACGGTTTTAATACTAAAATACGTGCTCACGTTGGGTAAATTATTAATTGTTCATTTTTTTGTTATTGTAGATATCGAGGTTCTACTTTCCTGCTTCCTAATTGCCAGTGTCTGTCAGCCATCAATGAAAACTACCTGTCCCAATACAGGAGATATATGGAAGGTTACCATTAATGATTCTAGAAATTCATTCATACTGCATACAAAGGTAAAATCTTCATTTTGGACTAATTCGTTAAGTTCGATGTTTGATGTCTCTGAACTCGAATGGTCGTATGCGCTAAAACTTCTGGCTAACTCTTTTTGCAATTTATTCCAGACGTTGGCATCACTGAAGGATGATCTCAGGGCGCGAGAGGCAAAGAACAAGAGATATCAGCTCCGCACTCAGCCCATTATTGTTGCTGTTGGCTCTTCATACTCCAAGATTGACTATTACGTGTCAGTTTGCAAGTGCCTCTACAAAGTCAACAACTGTTTTGAGGCCCTAGATTCCTGCTTCAAGGCGTTCTTTGCTCTTCATGCTGAGTACCCATTTGAGAGCGAACAAATTTGGCTGCTAATTCAACGTTGTGTGTTCAAGATCAAGACCTCTTACGACAACAACGGTATCCAATCCTTTAACGAATGTGTACCTCGTCTTAGCTAGACCATGTATGCATGTGGAGCTTGCGACTCTGTTTTCCAGTCAGTTCATGATTGTATACAACATATTAAAGCCTGCCACCCAGCCTATGTTTTTGGACTAACATGTAAGTTTATCAGTTGTGGGCGAAAGTACGATAGTATTAATAGCTTTAGAAAACATCTGGAAAGCCACAATATTGAGTTGCAGTTGCCTCCCTTACTACCTGTTCAAAATAATGTAGACAATGCTAATAATGGTTTAGGGGATGATGGTGTTGTTCTTGGTGATAATGTTGGTGTGAATTTTCCTGAGCACGAGTTGTTAAACATTACTGATGAAGAATTCACAGAAAATGTTGCTAATTCAGCTATCAGGTTCATTTCTAAAATGTATTCAATTAACACCATGAATAGAAGTGACGTTGATTTGGTTCTTAAATACAGTAATGAATTTGTTCAATGCATTGTTTCAAATATCCGTTTAAGAGTCCGTCCAGACAATATCCTTCAAAATGTTTTTGACATTGCTCATGGAGCGCTGGACGACTTACAAACTGAAACCCAGAGGTTCAATGCCCTAGAGTCTATGGGTGTTTTGATTAATCCTGTACCATTTAATTTTGATTATGTACCAGAAATTGTGGGAAATATAGAACCTGTAGTGGAACAAGTGCCTCTTACTGGTCAGTTTGTTCCTATAAGATCTATTTTTAAATCTTTTTTTGAATTAGAAGGAGTGTATAAGACTGTTGTCGACAATTACAATGATCTTGTGCGAACTGTAAATCCTGTGAGCAATATAGTGCAGGGTAGCTTATGGAAAGAAGTCATTCTCCCAAAATTTGGTGGAAAAGTTGTTCTTCCTATAACGATTAATTATGATGATACTGAGCCCGACAACTCTATTGGATCTCATAGTGGTGATCATAAGCTCGGACCTGTTTACTTCAGCTGCCCAGTAATTCCCCAAAAATATTTAGGTGCATTAAAAAACATGTTCCTGTCATGCCTGTTTCTGACAAACCATAGAAATGTTGCGAATGGCAATCACAGAGCTTTTCACCTTCTTATAGAAGAACTTTTGTTCTTAGAAAACGAAGGAATACTTATCAAAGTAGATGGCGAAGAAATTAGATTATATTTTGCTTTAGTTGCCATACTTGGTGACAATTTAGGTTTACATTCTATTCTTGGTTTTGCGGAAGGCTTCACGGCAAACTATTCTTGCCGATTTTGTCGCATGCATAGGGATGATCTTCAAAGAATGACGCATGTACCAGCAAATCTGTTGCGGACAGTAGAAAACTATGCAGAGGACGTTCAAACAAATAATCTTCCTCTCACTGGTGTTTTTGAAGAATGTGTTTTTAACCAGTTGAGCTCGTACCATGTTATTACAAATCCAAGTGTTGATATTATGCATGATATTCTCGAAGGAACGGGAAAATACGTCATGGCCAAGATTCTAACCTCTATCGTATATGATAGACATTACATGTCACTAGAGACTTTAATTGAGAGGGTTGATGATTTTTTTTATGGAAAGGTAGAAGCTGGTAATAGGCTACAAGCATACAAATTGACAAGAGATTCCATTGTAGGGGGAAGTCTTAATTTTTCTTCTTCAGAAATGTTGTGTTTCATTAGATGTTTTGGGGAAATGGTGGGGGACCTTATCCCGGAGAATGATCCAGTGTGGAACCTATTCCTCATGTTAAGAGATATTATCAGTATTGTCTTCGCTCCGTCATTCTCTCGTGGAACCGAAGAACTACTACAAGTTTTGGTTCAGGATCATAACAATACCTATCAGGAATTGTTCCGGGCTGATTTTCAACCAAAATTTCACTTTATGTTACACTATGCCCATTTAATGACTGTCGTAGGCCCACTGCTGCACCTTTCCAGCATGCGGTGGGAAAGTAAGCATAGGGAACTCAAGCAAGTGGCCCGTGCAACAAACTCACGAATAAACTTGCCATATACTGTGATTATGAAATGCATGTTAAGATTGGCCTATCGATTTTTGTCAGGTGATGGGCTTAGAGTTGAGTTCAGTGTTGGAAGTACCTCACCAGTACCTCGAAGAATTATTGACCCAGAAGGAATTTTGCATCACTTTGTTGATGCTAATGAGGAAATTTACAATGTCGCTAAGTGGATTACCGTGTGTGGTGTCTACTTTACAGCAGGTCTTGCTGTTCATACAGCGTACACTAATGGTTACCCATGTTTTGCTAAAATTGAAAAAATTGTCTATGAAGGTATTGAAGTTGGCTCCTTAAAGCCAAAAATATTTTTTGTTTGTAAAGAGCTTGTGACTAATTTCTTTGTTCGCCATGTTTATGCATTTGATGTTACTGAGTCTAGAGACCCTTTCTTTGCTCTTCGGTATGAAGATCTGGTCAGCCCCCATCCCTTTGTAATACGGCCAAATAGAAATGGACGGACATATGTATCCACTCGATACGATTTGTAAATACCTCGTTTGGAAATAAAGAAATATGTACAAAGCATGTCCGGCGTTACTTCCTTTAACATTTTGATAAATTACACGCAAACGATATAAATTGTGAGACACTGCTGGAATGAAAAGCAATAAACCCAGAAACCAACATACACTGTCCGTTTGTCCGTCGTGAAAGATTGACAATCAAAGAGACACAGATAAAGTCGGAATTCAACTTTAGTAAAATTACCGTTGGACTACAAAGAGAACGCATACGCGGTTAAAGTCCAGCTGACAGAGGGGCTGTGGTTTGCCTATTTTAAGGGGTCTTGTAGAAAATTTGCCTACCTACTAGGCAGCTTCCTAAAAGCTGACAAGGGGGGCGATTGGAGCCAACGGAGAGAGGAGGGAGGTCACCCACCCCCCCTCACCTCTCCCAATAAAACCATGAAAATATGTGGTTACTCTGGTTCCCCTGAAATATAGGCAGCCAAATATACACAACAGGTACAGCCGCGTACTCCAAAAGCATAACAATCGTTGCAAAATGTACCCAAAACCAGTCAGTTTTTCCTTTTCTTTAAACCTCCCGGCCTTGTCCCCGAAACAGGAAACGCGCGGTGTTATATTTAGGAAAAACATTCGTTGGCTTCACAGCCACCTTTTACCCTATCGTCAAGAGCAAGAATAAAGCGAAAATTGGAGGAGTAGAAAATTCAATGTCAGATTCTAAGGCCATACATCGAAGGCGACGAATCAAAACCAACGGCAAAGGTAACTGCATCTTTTCTTTGTGTTGATGAATATTCTCCTCAGTACGAAGGAAGCAGCCTGAAGTTGAGGTCAAAATTAAGAGAATTTTTCTCTTGGTTCAAAGAATTTTTTACCTTGTCCCCACACAAAGAAAAAATTTCCTTCATTCAAAAGCGGCGGCCTTATAACAAGGAAAGCATTTTCTGGGTGAACACAACATGGACTCGCGCGAGGACTCACCTGCTGTTCCAAACAGTTGTTATACTCCTGCCAGTCCACGCTAGCTGAGCTGGCAGAGCGGTGCGACGTGCTGGTTGGCTCACTGTTGTTCACAGCGTTCACAGCGGACATGCTGAACAGACGGCTCATGATGGCGCTCTCTGCAGGCACGGACAACCCATCTGGGACCGCAGACAGACCTGGGGCACAAACGGGGAAATGCTATGAGCGTCCAGTCTACCGCAGTCTACTCGCTCGAACATTGCGTTGACTGTCGTCTCAAGGTATCTGGAGTTCCGCTCAATTTGTCAACGCAGCAAACCCTTCACTCCGCCCCCTTCCAGCACTGGCACTGCACCCGTTTCCCCACCCCAACGAAGTCAATATAATTCTCAGTTTAAGGTTGGTTGCGCCTGCTACGTACTGGATAGGCCACTCGCTAAGCAGCTGTGTGGAGTCTGTTGCCTCCTGAGCGCCTGAGCAGTCACCCTACTGCAGTATGTGCAGCAAAATGTGACAGCCTTGCATCGTAAAAATACAAATCCAGTTTGTGTGTAGGCACACGCAGCTGGTTCACTAACATTTGAACTCTGTAGGAAGAGTGTTGACGTTGACTGTTGGACTGAAAACTTGATTGCTTCAAAGAGTCGGCGTAAGTACACGCTAAATGTATTTGTATGTTTTGTGCACACGTTCGTGATAAGTTAAACCTTCTTTCCTTTCGGACAATTTTTTTCGCGAAAGGTATGATTTTGTTCACAAATTAATGCACAAAAGTGTTTAAACCAACGCAGATGTGCAAAACATTTGATTGCTTGGATTCGTACAAATAAAGGACAAATCCAGTTTGTGTGCATTTGTGTTACTGACCAGAGGAGGAAGCAGGCGAGGCAGGGCAGGGGCGGTTTATTATAGCGAGAGGCAGTAGAGAGAGCGACAGCAGAAACAGCACCACTGGGCAGGCCAGAGTAGCGCAGCGAGCGCACCGCATAATCTGAATTACAATAAAAGAAATGTTAAATGTGTGACGTAGAGTAAAATGAGCCCATCATTCGACGTTAGTCTGGAAATAAACAGAACTTTTAAATTTAAAACCCTCTTCAAATTTTGGCGTTAAAAAAAGGCATTACAAGTTTTCAGCGGTAAGGTAATAAAGACCTCGTCGTGAGGTTGTGCGGTATCTCGCAATCGATACATCATATCGATATAGATGGGTCGACATTCTTTCAATATTGGACAAACGCTATGTGCACAGTGTTTTTTTTTTTTTAAGCTACGTCACGTTATAATGAATGTGGCACAGTATTCCAACCAATGTAACAAATATCACTGTTTGAGTAACAGCAATATTTTTCGATATTTCCCGGTTTTATCGAGACTTGATACTCAATAAATCAAGTCTCGTTCGATGACGCGATATCAAAATCTGGATATTT